TGTAGATGTATGGTAGATGTATTGATATAAACATTCTGCATAAGCATTTAAAAGCATTAAATCTTACAAACTAATTATAGTTTACAAGGTTGATCTTTGAGTAGCTCATGTGTAACCGTTTTGTGTTTTCTCTTTTCTTTTTTTAATCTTAAAAATAGTTATTTTGCTCAGCTTGGAGTCTATGTGATGGACGCCCATGTACACTTTTGTTTTGTATATGTGTTTTTGGCATTGGAAATAGTTAGAAGACTGGCCTTTGATATCTTGATATGATCAAGTTCGGCTAAGGTTTTAGATAAGATGAGACAGTGGCTCTTTAAATTTGCTTTGAAAGAACGGCTTTCAAATTTTTATGGAGCAACAGCCTCAAAAAGAATAAATACACAAACAAGGATTTACAAATGTATTTTGAAAATTCACAAATGCATTTGGAATATTTACAAATGTATAAAAACAATAAATACATAAACAGGGATTCACAAATGTATTTTGAAAATTCACAAACGCATTTGGAGTATTTACAAATTTTGGAAATTCAAAAATATATGCATGTGAAGATACTTGTTAGTTTCATAAAATACATTTGTGAATTGTCTAACATGCATGACTCGTCTGGCCGTAACCAGATACACAAATGCATTTTTTCTACATGGGGCCCATCAGCAGCTAATCAGATGTCTCGTTTGCCGCCAATCAAAGATTTGTGAATCCTTGTTTGTATATTTATTCTTTTTATACATTTATTCAAATGCATTTGTGAATTTTCAAAGTACATCTGTGAATCCTTGTTTGTTTGTGTTTATTCCTTATTATACTCTTATAGCTCCATAATAATTAGAATAAAAATTGAATATATAGTTGAATTGCTCAGAGGCAAAATTGCAATTTACGACAGGGTACTATACGTTATGTGCATCAGACAGTGTAACGCAGGGGTATCAAACTCATTTTGGTTCACGGTCCGCATACAACTTAATTATGATGTTAAGTGGGCTGCAGCAGTACAATCATAACATAATTAACAATAGATAACAATAAGTCCCCCATATGTTTTTCCCCTTTATTTTCATGCTAACAAGTACAAGTATATTAGATATTTATTATTACTCACTCATATTGAATGAAATACGTATAATTTTACACACAAAAAAAAATTCAAAATTCATCAAGCAGTCTGGATTGAACACCCTAACAGGCCGATTTTGGGCTGTTGGCTGTATGTTTGACGCCACTGGTGTAATGCCTGATGGGAGAGAAGACTTCCAGAAGTGTTCAGTCTTTTTCAGCCTTATTGCCTCCACTGAATAATAAAAACATCTGAGGGTATTCGCAGGTAAACACCCAGGCATTTATAGTCTACAACATTCAGAAATTCTCATCACAGAACAAAGTCCATCGTCCCTGACTGGTACACACGCAATAATAGATGTATTGGTGAGAGGTGTTTACTCAAATACAACAAAATAAAAGTGTTTCACACACATTTAGAAATAAGAGATAAAAAATAGTTTTTAGTAATTGGTTTAGAAATGTACGTAGCTAGAGCTATTTTGTTTTTTCTCTTTTTTTGTACAAAATCTAGCCTCTGTATTGTTGACTTTTACTTTCTGGCAACCACACCATATTAAACTCTGGTAGGCCACATAAAATGACGTCAAAGGACCTTGAGTTTTATGACAAACGTTTCAACATTAAAAAGCTAAGCTGGATATGTATTGCAGATATCTCTAACTCAGTTTTGCCCAGTCAAAAAGAAAATTTCGGATATCCGCAAAAACATTCATCCTATCTGTAATTTATCATTTTAGACATCCACAACAGCATTCTTCCCAGTGAAAATTACGACACATTTGCCATTCATTTGTATGGTTTTCATAATTACACATATTCACAATTCAATTGTGGATATCCACAACGTAGATTACAGATATTTGCTACCGAATTATAGATATCTGTAAGTCCGGTTTGAGATATCTACAATTTGGTTCTGACTAGTCATAACTCAAGTTCAAGATATCTTTAATTCATCTCAATTCAAAACATCTACATGCGTCTTTTCAGATATCTTAAAAATACGCTTTGACTAGTCAAAATTATGTTGTAGATATCTCAAACTGGAGTTTGGGATAGTCATAGTTTAGTTGTAGTTCTTTAATTAAATCTTAAATAACAACTAAATCAAGTTTAGTGTTGTGTGTGTGTGTGGCAAGCCCTTTTAACGAAACGTTAAAACCGAATTGCAGATATCTCTAACTGTCGTTCCGTCAAGTCAAAATTACGTTACAGATATCTCACATGACAATTCTCACTGTCCAAAATGTAATTATGCCCAGTCGGAAAGACATTGTGTATATCAACAATGTTAATAGTCAAACTTAGCGTTTAAATGTTAAAACGGCTTGCCATATGAGTGTGTGGCAATTTACCATTATATCTATCTATCCTATATATCTACTCACATGGAGTCGGGCGAATGACGTCAGAGCAACGCGCGTATGGTATGACAGGACACTCATTTGCCTTTCGTCTTTCTACAAGGAAGTGAACAGGACATGTCGCCGAGCCGCTGAAGCCACTGACCGTCCTTCCACCTTTGAGTTGGAGTAAGTGAACCGTTTAGCGACTTGAGAATGTGAGTGTTTGTGTGTCGCCGGAGGAAAGAGCAGGGCTGTGTCGATGTCCACCTGTCCACCTGAGACTGACACGAAGAAAGTACGTTATTGTTTTTCGCACTTGTCGTTATAGAGATTTCTGATATTGATGGTATTTCTTCGGTTTTCTTATGGCTATAACATAAGAGGGCGGTGTCAGTCAGGATGTATAAAAAAAAGGCACGTTTGTAAAAAAAAAAAAAAAAAAAAGTATAAGATAGAGCAAAACAATGGAAAAAGAAAGGAGTAAACCCAGATAAACTACAAAGAGCGACACTAAGCGGCAGAATGCGAGTACAAGCGATGCTTAAAAAGTAGGAAGCTGAAAAAAAGGCGATTAAAGTTTTCTGTTTTTAATTTTCTTTTTCGCTTTCATTAATTCCAGATATTTTAACGCAGGTCGTATCACTGTTAGTGGATGCGGTCAATATTATCATCTGAAGAAAAATCTTATGTGTTTAAACTTCCATTCAGTCCATAAAAATCGACTCATCGCACCCCCCCCGCCCCCCACCTTCCAATAAGAATGATTTGTTTTAAAATAAAATAAAAGAGATCAATCTCTCAAGAACTTTTTGGCTCCAGCAACTTGTCGTTGTGTTTGAACAAATTTTTTTTGTTTACTCAATTAGTTAAGGAGTGTTGAGTAAATATTATGTAATAGTATGATGTGTGTATAGAACAGGATTAAGGAAGATGTTAAAAGCAAAATAAACAACCAAAGCAAAGAACGATCTAGTAGTAATTCATTTATAAAGATACAATATATTATATTAATTATCTCATTGCCTCACTGCCACCAGCAGAATGCTTTTTCCTTTTCAGAATATACCTGCACTTTTTTGACTCAAAAAGAGTATTAATAATCAATCATCCAAATTTTCATGTTATTCTTCAACACTGCTTATTCTGTAACACAACTAACAAGAAAACAGAAATGGGAAATGCTTTTCAGTTTTCATGTCCGCTCCGCAAAAAAAAAAGGTAAAAAAAAAAATTCGATCTGAATTCGAAATTTGAGGCGGCGCAGGAGGGCGATCATTGTTAGAGTTAGCTTCAGAGTTCAAGCTAAATACAATATCTGAATCGGATGTCCGATGACAGACTGACCCGCTCTGAGTCTTCCAGCGACTGACACATTGGTTTAACACAGACATGAGCAAACTAAGGCCTGTGGTCGGGATGCGGCCCGTTCACCTTCTTAATCTGGCACGCCAAACTTAGATCAAAATTATATAATTTATTTATATTATCATTATACTTCCGCCTTTACCCTGCAAGACCTACATTTCCCCCAATGAATGGCATAGGTTATGCTAACATCATTCTAGCATTTTAGCCTTTATGCATGTCATTACATGTCATTTACCTTAGTTCAGACGAATGCTTCATCTATCTGCTCCCAACCCGCCGCTCCCTCAATCAATTTTAGGGCAATCGTGGCCTGTGACTCAAAAGGTTTTCCCACACCTAGTTAACACATCTGGTGCAGCGGTATTACTGGTATGACAGGAACAGATCCGTGTTTCAGCTTCTGTTTGTTTTTACACTCCACAGTATGGAGCGTACGCACCAAATTTGCTGTGTAAAAATAATGTGCGTTAATTGCTTGATTTTTTTTTTTTTTTTAATGCATTCATTCTTCGGTAAGTGATTATTTAAATTTGCAGCCCTCCTTTTTATATGATATGCACAGTTATACACTGTAAAAGGGCTTTTATATGATATGCACAGTTATACACTTTACAATGTTAGCAAAAAACAAAAAAAGTCAGTTAGGTACGAAGAAAAAAATGCAAAAAAAAAATCAAGGATAAATGAAGAATCAATAACACTACAAGCAATTAATTAATGTATAAGTTGCCTAATACTGCACTTTTTTTTGTTTTTCCTGGTTACTTTTTTTCCAGATTCCAATCTCTTTCCTCTGTCTCCAGTGTCATCTTTATAGCCTCTTCATCTGAGCAACTTTCTCCAAAGGAGGTCTTCCCTATTTCTGCATATATGCAATCAGCCGACTCAGCTCACATAGACTGTCCTGTGTTATGGCTCCTGTTCCACCTGGGATACATCTGCTAGTTTCCTTCAACAAGAACCAGTGGTGAGTTGTGAGTGATGTGTCTCTGAACCCGTCTTTGTAAGTAGGACATATTTCTTTAAATCTTCCATATTAGCTTCTCTCTGATATAAGCCTAAATGTTTTGGGAGTTTAGATGATCGATTTTTATTGTTTTTGTTTTTTGTTTTTTTTTTTTACTTCATACTGTGGTGAATCCCTGGATTTCGACAGACGTTTAGGACACGTATCATGAATAAATAATGAGTTAAACTAATGCTGCACCATTTGATGAAAATGTGTGATTATTGTGGACAATATTGCGAATTGGAATTACGATATAAACGAATGATGTCATGAGTCTACTTGCTTGAATATCAAGGAAAACATAGAGAAAAACTATATTTTGTATATTTCTCAACTCAAACCATTCAAATATGACCAAAAAAAAAACCCAAAAACAAAACCTGAAGTTTACATACTGTTTTTATTTATCACTTAATATCAAAAAATAAATAAAAGTTTGAAAGTAAGGTTATATTTTTTTAGAAATAATGGCGATGAAATGCAATGGCAAGTATTTTGGTAAACTTTCCAAGAACCACTTGGTAAAATAAATAATAATCATTTCTGTGAGGACTTTGTACAATCAGAACAATAAGAGAATACAAAATATTCATTTGTGGTGGTAGCTGTACCCTTTTAGAAAGAGAGAATATGGAGAAACAACTTGATCATTTAAAAAAGAATGTATACTAATTATATTGCGTTTGGTGTGATTGACACATTTCAGAGAAAGTTGTATTCGTGTACAACTCATAGCTCATTTGAGATGTAAGAACTGATGTTTGTTGCTCCGCAGCCTTTATGACATTACTAGTGTTGTCTATAGTGAAGGTAACCTCACGTTCCTTGCTGCGAAAGCCTCCTTCAGGCCTGATGCAGTGTTTTCTTTTCGTGTGGTCCTGGGGGAAATACCGTGTTTGGAGGCTGCGGCTTTTTTAACTCCAAGTCATTTTAGCTTGTACCTCGCTACAGCGTTTGTTGTAGAGCTCCGCGAGGGTAGCTTATTTCTCCTGTCCAGTGTGTGGATCATTACGCGACTTCTGGACGCAGAAACTTTAGCTTTGAATGCTTTACACAGCATGTCTTGCTGTTCAGCATCGCCGTGCTTATCACCTTACAACAGAAGTTGCATTTTTTTTTTTTCTCGCAACCAACTCAGCCTTCATGTTCCTCTTCCGTGTCAATGTTGGTAATTCCTGTCTGCTGTAAAAGCCGGGTTGATGTGGCTCCACATTTTGTTTACACTGGATCCCAAATTGCAGTTTTTCATGCTGTTATGTAAATCGCGATTGCCATTAGATTAATTGAGCAGCATTAGATGCACACTCTTGTCATTTGTCTGTTTCTAGTGAATTTCCTGTCTCGTCACTCATTCACCTTCATGTTTCTGTTTTTTCCTTGGTCTTCTCAATATGTAAACATGGCGAGAAACACAAAATCCGGTCAATTTTTTTTCATAGGGTGACAACACTAGAACCTGTCTGCTCACCCATGAAAACCTTGCTGCATTTGTGACAAAATCCCACTACTTGTAGTCAAAAATAACGTATTACCTTATTAGCTAGGTTAAATTGTTTTATAATCTATAGATAATATTGTAATATTTGAAGTAGGGATTCAATTCAACATTCTGGATTATGTCACTCCGGAGTACAAGTCGCACCAGCCAAAAAATGTATAATGAAAAAAACATATATAAGTCATAAAAAAAAAAAACACCCATATATAAGTCGCTCCAGAGAATAAGTTGCACCAGCGAGGGAGAGTGCCCTCCAGTGGCTGTCAGTGTGAAAATAACATGGTACAGGAGTAGCAGATACTGGTACACAAGCCTAGAGAGCTCTCTTGATAAAACAGACATGTGAAATTATATATTTTAATATATAAGTCCCACCTGAGTATAAATTGCAAACTCAGCCAAAGGATGAAAAAAAAGTGTGACATAGTCTGGAAAAATAGGGTAATCTAAAAAAAAGTTTTAAAAATGATTGTGCCTTTTGCCTTTCTCGTGTGTTGCTCTTGTTCTCTGATGAGTGCAGCAGTGCACACTATAGGAGTGTACTAAACTTTGATCTCCAATAAAATATGAGAGGCAACGCTGCACCTTTTACAATGCAAACAGCTATCAGTTTATACAACCGGGCCCACACAGTAAACAAGATAAAGGCTGATTTGATCAATTCACGGAAAAGTTTATAATTCTTAATTGCACAACATTTGCAAAATAAGGAAACCTAATTTTTGTCTGATTTTTATATGAAAAGTGAAAATGATTTGATGATCATATGTGGTGGAAATCTAATTTAAATACAAAACAGTTATGCTTGTGTTTTATATATATATATATATATAAATTCACTATTTCCTTTTCAATTCTGGTAAGATTCTTTGATATTGCCCAAGGACAAAAAAAAAAACAAACTTGTTTTCAATGACGTTATGATTACCAAATGAAAGCAAAACTTTTCGAGAGGTGGAGATCATGTTCATAGTCATGCTAACTACAATTCAATGTAAGAGGGGTCAAGCATTATAGTTGTGTTGTGTTGTGGCACTTGATTTCTAATTCTGATATCAACCAACATTGCTATACGCAGGCGTGCTTTTGCCCAAACTCATTTTAGGTCGCATTACATATTATATATCTTTACAATTTACGAAACATGACTAATTTGACTTTTGCCCAAACTCATTTTAGGTCGCACTACATATTATATATATCTTTACAATTTGTGATTGTAATACAAGATTTGCACAAATAAAGAGTTTTCTTCAAAAATAAGAAAATAACCTGAAGTTATGGGAAAAGAGTCATTTTTATTTATTTTACCACAAAAATACATAACTAATTAATGAGCAAATAATTAACAAATATAAATTCAAATAATATGTGACTGGCAACAATACAATTTTACTAACTCAATTTAGCAGCCATAGAAATTATTAATTAATTAATTAAACATATTTCTATGTGGTACAAATTACACTGTAGAACAGGGGTGTCAAACATACTAGTATTTTCTATTTGTGTAATTTCTGTTTTGGAAGAGGGTTTTTTTTATAAGGTCTGGTCTCTGGTACTTAATAAAACTTGTTAGGAGAAACCATGTTTTCTATGTAGACATAGGACTAAATGGCTTGTAGGAAGTATGTTGGTTTTAATACAATACCACCTACACTTTTGTTAACTATTAATGGTTATAGGCAAACTTTTTTTTTTCTTACGGTGAGAAATGTTTTTGAATTCACAGTCATTTTTCTCAATAGTGTCAATACAGTATTTGAGCCACAACCCATTCTTGCTTACAGAACACAAGCTTTAATGGATATTCTCTGTGTAACCGATCCTTATTTTTGAACCATTAAACTAATCTAATTAAATTAATCTAAATTAATTTCCCAGTGTTCTTAAGGACTTTGTTTAACCTAAACATGTTTTGCATCCAAACTCCTTTCTTCTTCAAAAACTTCACCTGATGTCAATTTGTCATAATCAGCTGTTGTTACTGGAGTGGGGGCCTCTGCCTTAACTAGCTCTCAAACAGCTAGCTCGCTGTTGTTACTGGAGTGGGGGCCTCTGCCTTAACTAGCTCTCAAACAGAGGGAAGAGGTTGCCTTTTCATGTTTGCATTAAATACTTGTGCTGAGTACTCTTCTTCTTTTTGAACCTTGATGAACCTTTGCAGGTTTTACGCTACAGTATGTAGTTAGCCAAAAATGATTTCCTTCACTCCAATAAAGTTCCAGATGAACCTCCAAATTACAGATTTAGAAAGTGTCATGTTAATAGCTAGTCATACTTTATTGATCCCAAGCTGGGAAATTGAACCCGGGCCGCCTGGGTGAAAACTAACCACTAGACCATATAAAAATGGGTACGTACAAAAACAGTGAGTGAACAACGACTGTCACCTCAAGTTATCAGCAGACTCTAGTTAATAAAGATCTATGTATCTATCCATCTATCTATCCATCTATCCATCCATCTGTCCGTCCGTCTATCTATCTATCTATCTATCTATCTATCTATCTATCTATCTATCTATCTATCTATCTATCTATCTATCTATCTATCTATCTATCTATCCATCCACCCACCTATCTATCTATCTATCTATCTATCTATAATCTAATCTAATCTAATCTAATCTAATCTAATCTAATCTAATCTAATCTAATCTAATCTAATCTAATCTAATCTAATCTAATCTAATCTAATCTAATATAATCTAATCTATCAGACATAGCCAGGGGACCAGGGTCTCTGTTGACTGCCATCCCTGGTCAGGAGCTAGACACGGCAAGAGACGCTCACGCTCACTGAGACATGTCAAAAACATGTGTTCAGTGACAAGTAGACATCAAGCTCTATATGTCATTGCGGAGCAGTAAATGGAACTAATCAATTAGTCTGTTTATTTCAGAGGCCGCTGTGTGTACGGCAAAGCAAATTTAGTGGGTTAGTGAGGTATGTTGAGTCTGAAGCCAGACTTTTTTTTTGTTACTACAAACGTGGCTCTCTTTCAACTCGATTTCTCTGTGCTACTCATTCAGAGATTGTGTCACCATTTATTAAGAATGCAGTGAATCTGGGTCCTGTAGTGTCCTGTAACTAATGAGACTAGATAAAGTTGTTTAGTGATTGACTCTACTTTCATTAACCCTTTCATGCATGACGGTTACTACAGTGGACAGCTATTAAAATGTCATTTTCTGATAAGAATAGGTTTTGATGGCAGTGTTGCATATAAAAAACCTAATCTTATCATAGAAAATGACATTTTAATAGCTGTCCACTGTAGTAACCGTCATGCATGAAAGGGTTAAAGTTTAGATGTTAGTTTAATTGTTTGTTGAACCTTAAAGGAGCAAGAATAAACAACTTCTTTGAGAACAACACACTGAACCACTGGCATTTCCTGATGAATTTCTTTACGAGCAATATGAAATATTAATCAGGCCTACCTAGTACATTATTGTAACAGTACAAAGACAGTAGATTTGCTGGTTCATCCCGACACAGGACAAAAAAAAACAAAAAACAAACCCCTGAACATTTATACTGTTTTTTCTGGACTATAAGTCGGACCTGAGTACAAGTTGCACAGCCCAAGTGTGAAGAGACTGTCAGTGAGAAAATGAGACACATGTGAAATTATATATTTTAATATACAGTATAAGTCGCACCTGAGCATAATAAGCAATAGCAAGCCCAGCCAAAGGATGAAAAAAAAAAGTGCGACTTATAGTCCGGATTATATGGTGTGCACATTCAGCCTTTCAATACAACACACACTCGCAAAGACAGTTGATGCTCTTGTTTTATTTTTATTTAAATTGATAAGGGTTGCACAATGTTGAGCTTGTTGAGAAATTACAGAAAAACAGAAAAAATACGCCCAAAATTTCAAGCCTACACATACACATTTTTCTACTCATTGGTCGGTTCAGGTATTGCTATTTTTACACCATGATACCTAGACTGATACCTATTCCTAGGGATGTCCGATAATATCTGCCAACCAATAATATCAGCCGATATGAGCTTAATCATGTAATATCCGTAAGAATCATTATCGTTTTTTCCTCAGATAACAAAAATGCTGATAACGCAATGTCTGGGTTTGGCCCAGATGATGTAACTTAAACAAAGGTTTTGAAGTGAAACTGAAAGTGAAAGTGAAAACGAAATGTGTCCTCTGCCTTTAACCTAAACGGCTGTATATAATGGTTGATATTGGAATCAGAAATTAAGTGCTTTATTCACTCGTTTGCGAGGGTTTTACTTATGATGGAGTGGTGCTTCTTTCTCGCAACAGTGTGCTGTTGGATACTAAACTAACTTTTTGCCTAAGCTGCTGCTGCTGGTAAACAATGATTTGTTGACGTTTGATAAATAAACTGAGGATAAGCGGATTGCCTATTTCAGTTTGATATTGTATTCTAGTTTTGGGATGCTGGATATAAAAATATATATCTGTTCAGAGGTGCTTTTCCTGAATGGATCTAAATAGACATTTCTGTTGACCTTTTCTGTTTTCTTTGTCCTTAAAGAGTCCTCTAATGGAGCAAGTACTTGTCCAGTAAGAATTTTAAACACCAGGTTAATTATATTTTTAAGCCTTGTTTGTATGTGGTTTAAAGTCGTACTGCAGGCCAGTGCCTAGCTTGTCATACAGTATGTAATGTGTAATTGGACCATTGAAATGTGGCAGTTCAGTGCACTGAATGTTACACCCAAGGGTTAGGGAAAACCTCCAGGTGACATACATTTGTGCTCACTACCTTTTTCAATCACGAACAATGCCAGCCACGCACATCTCGGATGTCAAAGGCGGTTTTTGTTTTGTTTAGCTTCAGAGACAAGCAACCAAATATATCTTCATGGCATAATCCTGCCTGGAAATAAAAGAAACTAATCAAACTAAAGACAGGTGTCAGGCGAATCTCCTGATAAAAATGAGGAAATGAATAACAAAGCAAACAGGATTGTGTACTCTGCTGCTGCTCAACAAACAAAACACAGGATAACACACAGCTGGTGCTGTCACTGCTGCCTGACATTAGGAGAGGAAAGGAGACCATCTTGAAGGATTATGGGGGTTATAAAGACCCAGAGCAACTAAAGTGGCTCCAACGACTCAATTACAACACATAAATCAGGGGTCACCAACGCGGTAGCCCACATGGACTACCTAAGGTGCACGCAGGGTATGTTAAAAAAAAAACTAGTCAACAAGAGGGTGAGAAATTGTACTGTTACTGTACTGTGAGAAATTGTACTGTTACTGTTACTTTTTTGAATCAGTTACACTTGCAGTGATATTCAAATGGGCGTAATGACGATGGTTAAAACAGTGTCTACTGCAGTATGCACCAGAACTACAGTGAGGCTTCAAGATAGGTGCTACCCGAAATACCCGAGTTTTTAAAGTCACGAGTAAGCAACTTTTGTAAGATTTTCTTCATGATACGAGTAAAAATAAAAAGAGTTTTACGACACTGTCACACTCACTGTCCCTTGCTGGGTCATTGTACTGCTCATTTTATTTCCCTCTCTCTCTGTCTCTCTCTCTCTCTCTCTCTCTTTCTGTCATCTAAATCGAGTCTTCACTCCCAGTCATTCTCCTGAGTGCTGTCTTGCTCACTGTCCCTCTATGGGTTATTTTACCCATTTTTATAACAATAAAATAAAATGTTTTCTTAACTGTTATTATTTTATATTATCAGTATATTTGTTGTTTTTTTTATGTTTAAATGGGGGGGGGTTAAATTAATTAATAGTATATTTCTGGGGGTCTGGAATGAATTTATCGGGGGGGGTTTAAATGAGGAAAATGCAATGGAGATACGACCGGATCGACATACTAGTGCTGTTGTGGAAAGGATTAAACCTGTATCTTGAAGCCCCACTGTAATTATTATTACATTGTTCCCGGAAATCTATATCAAACAAGTAGCTCTTAGTATTACTAAGTGCCTGTGGTACCGCCATGTGTTTGTGTAGCGTTGGTTTGGTCTCCCCAATGTACAGGTCCATGCACTCTTCACTATACGGAATGTTATACACCACGTTATCAAGAATGCCCAAAGGGCTGGGGCTCCAAAGATGAATATTATCTTCAAAACCTCCATTCCCAACATGTAAAACAAGCTATTGATGCTATATATGAGTGTTTATACCATCAACATTTTGATTTGATTAAAATTAACAGAGAGTTAATTTAAGTCAACTGCTGCCCGATGACCTATCCAGAAAAAAAAAAAAAAAAACCCAAAACAAACATTTTTTTACAGAATGAGAGGCAGTAGAATTGTTGGACTTTGGTGTTAATTTCATCTTTGATCACTAACAAATCCATATATTCTCTTTTGTTTATGGTTGACAGGTATAAAGCTTTGACCTTTGTCCTCACCTTCTTGCTCTACACCAGTTTTCACCTCTCCAGGAAGCCAATTAGCATTGTTAAGGTATGGTTCTCCCGCTAACTAGAGCAATAGACAGACTAATAGATAATTAGTAAAGTGCTTAATTTATCAATTTATGGTGATGTCTGTTGTTCACAGACAGATCTCACAGGTTAGCAGCGTTTTTTTTCCTGTTCACAGACAGATCTCACAGGTTAGCGTTTTTTTTCAACTGTATTATTTTCTCCAACTCAAATCCAACTATTCAGAGCCAGCTTTCAAGCTGTTTAGGCATACCAGCATCCCTCACTTATCTACTCTTAAATACTGAAAATGGCTTAACAGTGCTACAAAATACAAATATACTTTATTTTTTCCTCTTCACCATAAACAACAGGTTTTAAATGCAGACTTGTAAATAGAACATATTAAACTTAACGTAACTGTAAACAAAGCTGTCTTATGTCTCAAAGGTACAACATTTAAATTTCAAACCAATTGCAAGTAACAAGTGCTCTTTATTAGGCACCATTCGGCGTTGTCAAATAGGAAATGAACAGTGTTAGCATCCCAGTTCATCAGACATTTCTAAAAATGCGATAATCAAAACCCCAAATTTAACCTAGATCCACTATTGTGCCAGCTGCCCTGAACATTTTGTGGGGTTTTAACTAAACCATTTTTGTTTACAGAGTGAACTGCATAAGAACTGTTCATTGGTCCTTGAACAGCCTACAGTTGTCATTGGCAGTCAGTATGCTGCTTTACCTTCTCACCGCACACACATGGACTGTAGCTGGAAGCCATTTGGTTTGTATAATATGTTGTATACACGTTAAACCAAAGCTGTATGTTTACAAATACTTAGCTTTGTTTTCAGGTGATTTAATGAAGGTAAAACGCAGGGATTTCGTGAACTCATAGAAAAGCTCTTTATATATTGTTTAATGCGCCTTTTTAATGGGCTTTTTATTGCACTGATGTTTCGGAAATTGTTCTTCTCTACCTTTACATGCCTGGTGGAGATCTGAACTAAGATAGCTATGGCAGCTATATATCTTTATATGGAGTTTGGTCAAAATACAAGATAGATAGATTTCACTTTCATATATTTACACACATAGCTTATTTGGAAATAAAAAAACAAGTACATCATTTATTAAGGATTTAAATCCTGCTGGGATACTTCTTCTTCTTTTTCTTTCGGCTTTGACCCTTTTTTCAGGGGTTGCCACAGCAAATCATTGATTTCCATATTGTCCTGTTCTCTGCATCTTCTACTCTGACTCCAACTATCTGCATGTCCTCGCTCACTGCATCCATATATCTCTCTTCCACAGTCTCCTCTGCTCTGAACAGTTGATCCTAAGTTCCTAAACTCCTGCACCTTCACCACCTCTGCTCCTTGTAAC